TAATAGCAAAATTTGTTTGAATTGTAGTTTTTAAGTTATTTGAGAAAAACAAATTTTGCTGGAGTAACGTTTGAAACGTTACCCAGGCAAAATAGTCTTTCAAAAATTAGTTTCAGCACGGAACCAAATACATGAATAGATAGCTTTTGTTGCGTAGTAAATGTTTATAAATAGCAAAATTTGTGTGTGGTATAGTTCTTTAGTTATTTAAGATTTTGCTGCGGTAACGTTTTGGGATTTCCCAGATCTCGAAAACGGCTCAACGCAGAAGTTTGAAAAAAATACCAATAAAAGACCTCAATTTGTTTAAATTTGTTTAATCATTAGTTTTTGATTTGGTTGACGTAAACCAATGTAATTAAATGGTTTCAAAAATCAGAAGAAACGGGTTTGCAAGTAAACCAATACACTTATAACCAAATAAACAGCTGTAAAAAATACCCGTGGTTCGACGCTTGTTTACATCAGAAATATTAGATTTCATACTTTACACATTAAGAAGATAAAAACAAATTTGATTTATTTTAGACTGGTCGTACTTTAGCGATCAAATACGCAGTTCCCATAACATTAAGAAACATGGCATACTTTAAACAAATTAAAATGATTCCTGAAAATTCCTTCCTGTTAATTGCAGCTTTGAATTACGGCTCTAATGAAAGTTATCTCAAAAACAAGATTATGTCAGCAATTCTCTAATGAGCCGACCAAATTGAAAAGGTCACATAAAAGCGACCGGGATTTCGGGTTTTCGCTTAATCGGATCATCAGAGACCTACTTGTATTAGGCATTAAACCATACAGGTTCAACAAATAGGATTATATACATACGTAGGTCCCTACATTAATCACGCCAAATTCTCTTATGGGAGAATCCAGTTGTGTGTTGAAGAACTTCAGCTACAAAACGTCCCCTGCTGATATGCTAAACATAGCTTTAGACTCCTAGCTCCATATTATAGAAAAATATTGGAGTAATAAAATTTCCAGGACATATTTCTGCTACCAGGAGCACATTAAACCTAGAAGATCGAGGCAAATCTATCATTCGACACTCAGCTAAGGATATATAATTCCTTGTTAGTTTATTTTATAACTGCGCTCGAGAATATTCGTATGACATCACAGTCGGTGTCAAATACACGACATTGAACTCGGGTTAGTGACCCCGACCGTTCTGGAGATTATTTTACTGAATAATCCTTAATTATTATTATGATATACTGCAAGTATCTCTTAACTTTAAAAGAAAAATGTTTATGGTGTCACGGTTTTTAATTCCCGGAACCAGATGTGTACGTATTTCAAGTGAAACTCAAATTTTTAATCGGGTATTTTAATTCATGTAACAGGGGTGTGCCTAACGTTACCAGCATATTTTGAATGTGGGATGCTTTGGCTCCATGGGTCGGCTCGACCGAAGTGATACCACGGACTCACACAAAACCGACATGAAACAACGCTTGCGTTGTGTTTCGTCGTGTGAGTGAGGTTACTGATGGCCCAATTACTCCCGTCCCCAATCTCCTTAATCCCCGAATCCCTATTAAATTCATAACCCCCAAAAGGCCGGTAACGCACTTGTAACACCTTTGGTGTTTCGGGTGTCCGTGGGCGGCGCGGATTGATACCGTCAGGTGATCCGTCTACTCGCTTACCGGCTTATTCCATAAAAAAACCAAATGCATAGATACCTTAGTTTTGATAGTGGCTAAACGCTATCCTACTAAATATATATAAAAAATAAATAAAAAATCTGTCACAAAAAAGATACGCGTTAAATTAATGTGATACGGCAAACATAAAACTGCGAACGTCTGCGGCTTAAATATAGGCCACCACTTATATCGACCAGGAGTGCGGCCTGTCACTTGACTTTCACTTTCATGTGGCCCTAGTACCTCAAGCCATGAAACGTAGCGTTTTCTAGTATATGATTTGCTTTAATTTGTTTTTCCTATAATTAATTTTAATCTTAAGTTGTATATATTTAATTTAGTAATATTTTTTTTTTGATGCCTTATTATAGCTTATTTATTTATTATTACCTTTTTTTAAGGTGTAAATATTTTAGTTCATAGTTATTTATATTTTAAGTTGTATATTTTTTCATTTAGTTATAGTTAATATTAATTGTATATATAATAAGTATGTATTTTCAAATGAAAAATTAAAAATATATTGTTATTTAGTAATATTTAGTTTTAGTTTTATTTAGAGGTAATTGTTAGTTTTAATTTAAGTTATTTATTTGAATAAAACACGGCATAATCTGATTTGTAAAATAAATAATATACTACGGATATGATTCTCTACTTTGGATTGAAACTAGTCAAGTTTCTCGTCAAACAATTACGTGTGTAAGTCAAAAAACAGAATAATTAATCTAGAATAGGAGTTATTTTTCGGAAAGATTTTAAAAACGTTGTCAGCCTCACATTCCACAGACCATGATTTTCTAATCAAAAATTACGGTATGTATGGATACGTTTGTTTGACACATCTTCACGTTAAAACGCCTGAAGGGATCGAGATGAAATTAGATTTAGATTTAAATTGGGGTAGATATTAAGTAATAACATATAGGTAAAATTGCACAGTCAAATCCTAAGATGTGTAGCGTCCATAAGTACATGACTTGGGTGTGAGAGCAAATATTGCAGTCGCCTAGTAGGCTAGTAGTGTTGAAACATTCCTCCAGTTAATTATCGCATTGATTGCATTGGAAATATCACAAGCTAAAGCTTTACACGAGTTGTTGTTTCCGGAGATCAAACACTCAAACTAGACAGCAGAACAACATAACTATAACTATGTAGATGTACTGATGCTTCTGCTGTATGGGATGCTGGGCCCGTACTGCAGACTCATTGTAGCCAGTACCAGCGTGACAGTCATGAATATGAACCTCTAGCATGGCTTAAAACTAGTCGAGTTCCTCGTCAAATAATTACGTGTGTAAGCCGAAAAATGTAATAAGTACATGTAACATGTGTTTTATGGAATAGGAGGCAAACGAGCAGACGGATCACCTGAAAGTAAGCGATCAGTGCCGCCCATGGACACCCGCAACACTAGAGCAAACACCAGAGGCATTACAAGTGCGTTACCGCCTTTTTGGGTATTGAGGATTGTTGGGGATTCATGGGGCACAGAGATTGGGGAATTCGGACTCTGTGTGTGATTTTAAAACATTCCTTGTTGATCTTATCCTTTAAATATCTCAAGTTAAGTATTTAAAATCAAACCTAGGTTGTAGAACAAAGCAGGTATTCACTAACACGGGTATAGTCTACACTCTACAGGTATCAATCAGAGTGCAGTCTGCAAGTGACGGTTGAACGCGAAGTTGTGTAATAGCACCACTACTATGTGTACTCGAACTTGAAATTGAATATAATCGATAAGTTAGCCGAACGTGACTTGAAACTATCAAGAGAAATGGCTGCAGGTGAGAAGTTCTCGTGTCACATGTTATATTGAGAATCAATCGTAGGTAATTTTGTCGAATAAAAGTTGAATAAAAGCCAAATCTAATTGAGTTCTTACTGCATAGTTTAATTCAAATTACCTGTCCAATTACTGAAAAGATTAGGAATTAGACTTTTTGATGTAAGAATTTATTTTCTAGTTCTTTAAAAGTACTTAGTTTGTTTATTTGCACGATTTACACGTAGATATTAGCCATTTAGGCCATTAGGGCATTTAGTTTTTGCGTGCGTGGTCACGTGATAACTGCATCGCTGACTCACAGTATACAGCGAATATAATATTATCGAACTGTATTAAAAATTGAAATTATTCTACAATACCAGTACAGCGTTTACGTTATCAAGTTCATTGTTAACTATAATAATTCACACAGTAACTAACCAATAGAAAAACAAAAAAAAACAGTTATAATAAGTACCAAACATTGTAACACTACCTCATAAACAAATTCGATAAACATATACCTATTACACGATATTTTGTGAGTGGGTATGCAACAAATAGTAGTGGTTCATATTGAACCGGCGGCGACCTTTACCATCGATAGGTCAGCGCGGAGCACCTCGCTGTGAATGACGATTCCTTCAGTTCCGCATTGCAAGGTAATGCTTGGACGTAGCCCCAATTAACACTATGCAATGGCCAATTTATATTTACGCTTTGTAAACTTCGCCTGCAGGTATTATGTTATGAGACATTAAACTATTTCTAAATGTCAAGAGAGTAGATGACTTCTTTAATTCTTTCATCAAGTGTTAAAGAAAATTCATAACTGTAGAAGAAAATTGTCATTCGACAGTATTTAGTTAAATTGTCAATTCAGAGTTATTCGTTAGTTAAAATTTATCTGTATCGTGTACGATGTATGTGTACAATTGATTTGTTTAAATCATGACCCGATTTGAAAACATCGTTACGAATACAATTTTTTTAGGGGAGAAAATCATCCAATGGCCTCTCCCGCCTGGGTGAAGCGGGAGGGAGTGTCAGACTCTTACTGAGTAAAGACAACATGGGTTGTATAGGTATCCATGTTGATCCAAATATTGTCTTATTTGTATTTGAGTGTCCGTAAGACAAGTAGCTGATGGTAAGTTTATTGATGTAGTTCATAATAAATTGTGCTTTGTACAGTCGCTAGCCTTCACCGGCACTTAGAGCACCGATGACCTAAAGTTACTAGTTATCTATTTTTCTTTGCAGAAGGTTGTTTGTGAAAGATAACTCCAGTTTTAACCGTCTTCAATAAAAGAAAGAGGTTCTCGGTTTGACCTGTATGAATGTATGTATGTTTGTGCGCGATTATCTGACAATTGGCTGAACCGATTATGATGAGGTTTTCAGAAAAGTGTTTTCATACTTAGGAAATGGTTTTAATATATTAATTCATCGACTTCTAAAAAGAGATTGTAGTCGGCTTTATTAAACGTAGTTTATAAGAGAATTATCCTGATTTCTGTTGCCTGTCAGCGATTTCTAGTTTAAAAGAAAGTATGAAGCCTACTTACCAAAGCGGGTGAGTCTAAAGGCCTGGATCTCGACTTCCTCAAATCACTCTCTCCGTCAGAAGGTCTCGACTGCCTGTCACTCTCTCTATCCGAGGAATGGTACCGTCTCTTTTCCTCTTTGCGTTCTTTGTATCTTCTTTCTTCTTTTAGGGTCTTGTCGTATCTGAAAGAGTATTTATTTTAGAAAACAATTCAATGGTAACTCGATTAGGACCAGAATGTAATGAAGAACAGACTTTAGTATTGTAGTGTTCTAACTGTGATCGTCAAGTCTATCAAGACTGGGGCTTTTGGCAAACTTCTTCTTAAGATATAGGATATGTTCAGTGGTGGATGTAAAATGGTTGATGACGAAGATACAAAAAAAATTTAATAAAAGGTGCTTTAACTTCAAAAAAATGGGGATAGAAGCCGGTTTTTAAAGGTAGTATATAAAAGAATTATATACAGGAATGTTTTTCTATAATATGTGGCTGTAATATAGTGGTTACATTGTAAACTTTTCCAGGTAACATTGCAGTGATATACTAACCACCTTTTTAATAAACATGACACGACACACACTGCTGACAAATATCACTCATTTGGAAATACTCTAAAGAAGAAAAATCTTAAAGTGAGAAATATATCCTATGAGAGTTCAATAAACTCACCTTCCATCATAATCCTCTCTATATTTCCTCTCAGGGTCGCTGTCCCGAGGGTCTGAGCTCCTGTACCGGTCCAGGTCTTCCCTGGAGCTCCTATGCCTGTCCAGTTCTTCCCTGGAACTTCTGTGCCTGTCCAGTTCTTCCCTGGAGCTCCTGTGCCTGTCTAGTTCTTCTCTAGTGCTCCTGTGCCTGTCCAGATCTTCCCTGGAATTTCTGTACCTTCGCTCGTCTGCCTTGCATTCATAGTCGATCTTCTTCACTATGATGTCACTTGGTTCTGGGTCGGTGTACCTGAGTTTGAAAAGGTATTTACTTACTAACATATTAATATCAACAAATCATATCACGTCCTTTGTTCCCTGACGAAATTGTTGCACACACAACACACAATATCACGCCTTTTATCCCCGAAGTAGTAGGCAGAGGTGCACACAGAAGTAACACCCACTTTTCACTATTTGTCTTATGAGTCCCATGGGGGATGAGCCTATTGCCATATACCGGGCACATTTTCAGATTCCGTGCTACTACTGAGATTTTTTTTTTAAAACCCAGTAATACTTTGCTCGATCCGGGAATCGAACCCGAGACTCCTTGCCCGGCAGTCCCACTTGCGACCACACGGCCATCGAGGCAGTCGAAATTGTTGCATATTAATTAATAAAAATATGACACCAAATATGACTATTTATATTATAAATTTTACATTTTAGAACATGATCATTGATCCGATTGCACACTGGTTGATCGGTTTGATATACAATAATTCTAAATACAATTCCATTCGGAAAGACCCCGGAAAGATATTCCACAATAAAACTTTATGCAACATGGATATGAAATCCTTTTTTTTGAGCGGGGAATATCTTTCAATGACTTCTTCCGCCTTAGGTTAGGCGAGAGCGAGTGTCAGACTCTTACCATCCCGTTCCTACTCATGCTTTTCAAGCACCGGCAACTCGTTAGGTCTTTCACGGCTCCGTATCGGGGATATGATATCTGACATCCTTATTGCTATCACTACTAACTAACAAGGCAAAACTGGATATGAGTAATAGAAGTCATTGGATGAAGTCATTAAGAAAGTATAGTATATTACTAATCCGATACAAAACCCTATTTTGGTAACTTGCTACGAAGTATGATGACTGCATCTTCATATAAAAGTTTTCCTCTTATAAATTGATGCATTTGATATGACTCATTCTACTTAGAATATCTAAGTAACGACTATTTGTGTAAGCATATAAACTACTTGTATTTGCTCAATGTCATCTAGGCTAACATTGCAATGACGTCACATGCCATGAATTGTACATTTTGTATCTATATTAATATTAGTAACTGGATGACCAAGCTTTGCTCGGTGTTTTCTTTTAGTAAACTACATTTTCTGAATATGAACCTTAACTAGATCTATTTATCGACCGTTTGAATACAAAATTTCAAAAAAATCGTGAGAAAAAAGGTCAAGTTAACGGATTACCAGGACCCGTGCGTATGGCGCGATACCATCACAGACAGGGTCCAGCAGTCTATCTACTAGGGTGGTATCGACTGACGGGGAGCCGCGAAGGACTTAACAAGTTGCCGGGGCTCGAAGAGTGAAAGTAAGAACGGGGTAATTTTAGTCATTAAGAGTCTGACATTCCTTCTCGCCTCACCCAAGCCGGGAGAAGTCCTTCGGTAATTTTCATCCCACAAAAAGGGGTATTTTTTACACCAAAAAAATTAGGTATTAACACTAATTTTCCGTCTGTTACTTGTGATCGCTGGAATTTAGAACGTTTCTATGTGAATCCCCGTCCTATAGTAGTATCGTAATGTAGTCTTTATTATTGAGAGTTAGCTATCTAACGGAGAATGATTTTATGAAATCGGTCCAGCAGTTTCGATGAAAATAAACAAAGAGACTTTTTATGTTTTTAATATCAGATAAGATTTCTTAAGACCAAGTTTCTTCTGTAATCATTACTTAGTCATACGACATCGAAAGTACACCCATAATTGTTGAAGTAAGTCATTATGCATACTAAAACGAAATGTCATGTTGTCTATTCTTAGTAGCTTTCTTACCTTAGAATAAAACAAAGCTAGATAAACTAAAACAACACAATCGGGTCACAACTTTCATCTGATAACAACAATACAAGTGACATGAAAATCCCACGTGATTCATGCCGCTCCTTACTCCGTCCTACATGAGCAACTGTCGCAAAGTGGTACGGTACAGAAAACATGGTAGAATGTAGGGTAGATGACTAATTTTTATTTTAATTTCCGTCTGGTAGATTATTGAAAAATAACGTAACGTATTTTTATTTTTTTTACGCAAACGAATAGTTTCGAAGATATATTGATTTGAAATGTCTCACCCTAAACTTTGATTCGTTTTATCTAAGCATTGTTTTATTATATGACAAAATAAAAAAATATGTGTCTAATATTTTTTATTACCTAAGTGACGAACTAATTACATTTTTAATTTTCATACCCTGTATTCTCATTTACCCTTCATATTTATTATAACCAGAGCCGTCTTAGACTACGCTGGGGTCCTTGGGCTCACAATAATTCGGGGCCCTTGTGGAATAACCTCTTATTTTACGTTACCCCACACTAGGATTTTCTCCTGTATCGTGGGTGCGTTTACAGACATACTAGTTCACATACACATGATACTCAGACCCGGATTGTGGATCACACAAAGATTTGCTCCGTAGAAGAATTGAGCCCAGCGTAGCGGGTGTGTGTCCGTCGTAGAAAGCTGAGGTCTGGGCACGGGCCCTAAGTGCCCTTATAGTAAAGACGGTACGACGACATGATTATCACTTATTGTATTAATAATTTACTATAATATATATGGTAATTCAATAAGTTAAGTAAAATACTTCATTCTAATTGTCTCCAATCATTGACTTTTAATTCAATACCGTAGGTTAAAATCTGATATCTAATATGAAATTACCTTCTGTATTCGGAGTCGTCTCTGGCAAGATGTTCAGGGCTCTTGAGCACCCGTGTGCGAGTCTTTGGCTGGACCACTTCCTTCTCTTTCTTGCTCTTCTTAGAAGAGTCGCGAGAGAACAGCTGCTTCATCTTTTTAAAACAAAATAAAATATTAGTTTCACAATTATCATATCTTTGTGCAAATAAAAATGAAGTAGATAAAATAAATTACCTTTTCAAGTCCAGTTAGTTTCTTTGCCTTTGGCGGTTTCGCACTGACTTTGTCATCAAGTCTACTAGGACTTTTTTCGTATCTTTCATGTTTTGGCTCAAAATGTGATCCTTCATCAGCACTTCTATCTCGCCTCGTGTACTCCTTCCTATATCCATCATCCCTATAATCCTTAAACCTTGCCAAATACTCTCCGTTAGCGTATATTTGCTCAGCTGGATAGTTATCTTCTGTATGCTGTCGTTCACTAGCCAAAAATAAAGAAGTGTCCCTAACGTCATCGTCACTCTCATGTCTCCTGTGTCTCGTTCTATGAATTTCTCCGCTGGAGTCTTTTCTGAAGTCATTTTCAATTCCAGAATCAACTAGTCTGTTATCAATATCGAAGCGACGAGGTGATCTGTCGTCTCGGTAGTACTCTCTACTATCACCAGAATCATGTCGTGTCATGCCAAACTCTTCCTTGTATCTGTCTTTGTTTTTCACTCGACGCAGTGAATGGTATGAATCGGCATATTTTGGGAGATTTGCATAATCCTCTTCACGTTCTTGAGCAATCTCAGGATTGGAGGAGTAATGTCCTTTTCTCTTACCGAAATATTCTTTGCCTTTATATTTTTGTCCAGTTTGAAGTACATCATGACTAGAAGTAAGTTGCTTTTTAGCTTTATATTTCTTCTCTTTATATTCATCAGGGCTGAGTAAGGGTTTGCCAGTGTTTGAATCCAAACTAGGAGGCTCATACTCAGGCTCTGGGGGAAAATCTTTTTTAGAACTCTTGTATCTAGGCTCCAACTTATCAATGAACTCACGCCTATCAAGTTCTCCTTTAGGAACTTTTTGGAAGGTTCTACTTTCTGTATTGTATTTGACTTTATTATTGTCCGAATCATACTTACTGTAATCTTCAGTAACACTGCTTTCAGCGAAACCATCCCTTTCTAATGTATTCCGATAGTAACGAACTGTTTCATTCACGTATCGCTCAGTGGCTTGCATACGTTTTTCAGCTTCATATATAGGATCTTCAGGTAAATACCGCGATATGGGTTCCTCAATATTTCGCTCTCTATCAAGTCTTCGAGCATTTAATCTTGATTCCAAAAGCTGACGTCTGTGGCTTAGTTCATTGAAATCTAAATCAATCTTTGTTGGTTCTGTCTCGTATTGTTTCTTTTTTGTATCCATACCATCTCCTCTTCCTCTGTATTGATTACTTAGATCAGGAGACTTATCTTTTGGTGAATATTCATTGGCATAAGTTGGTTCAAAGTCTTCAAAGCTGGTCAGCTTGTATTCCCTAAACCTGGGCCTTATGGGTGAATCAGTGATATTGTAGGTCGGTTCAAAGTTAGTGAAGTTGTCATTTTCCTTGTTTTTGTAATCATAGTCATACATTTGAGTTTTAGCAAACTTGTGTCTGTCCTCATAGCCCAAACCTTCATCTTCATCGGAGAAGTTTCCATACTTTTCTTTGGACGGAGAATAAGTTTTATGTACTGTTTGTTTGTTTAATCTATTGATGTGTGTGTCGTGATCTCTCACCACGTGAGCATACACCACCCCCTTATCCATCTTGTTGACTGGCGAGGGTACTCTATCAGGACTAGTGTTCCTCACAAAAAGATTAGGATCAGGGCTGATACTTGGTTTGATGTAAGAAAATGGTTGATTTACGTTAGTTCCGTTGGGAGGTGCAATCAAATGAGATTTAGGAGGCGGTGACGATTGGTCTTCCTTTAAAATTCTCACTAAGTGGTCTACAGTATGCCCTCGAGTCAAAGGCGGTTTGTCCGGCGGTTGCTGACTACTATGTATCATTTCTTTATCACCATAAACGTTTTCTTCAATTTTCCTTATACTATCTTTGATTCTGTCTTTAACATCAGCAGAATTTGTGTCTTTACTTTTGGTCGAGTCAATTTCATCCACAAGAATTGTCTTTTTTACATCAGTTTTTCGTTTAGGTGTAGCAGTGATTTGTGGTGATTTCTCTTTCTCCTTCTCTTGTGATTTACCCTTTTTAGCTCTAGAGGGTGCTTTTGGCTCAGGTTTTTCAGGAGCTTTATACCTGGGAGGCTTTTCAACAGGATTAACCTTTTTGTTTTCTGTTTTCTCTTTCTCAGAGATATTTTCTTTTTGAGCAGAATTTTGTTTCTGGTACAGGTCCAGGGGAGACGTTTTCTTGAAGTAATCTTCTCTGGGTGAACTTTCTATGATGGGTGATAACTGTGACTTCTTATTTCTTAATGACTTAAGGAACTCTTCAGTTTCGCTGCCCGATCTTTTGCGAATTGGTTTGTTCTGCGTGGTTAGTGTTGTGTTAGACTTTAGATCGGACACGTCACTTTTACTTCTCTGGACAATTGCAACAGGTTTTGTGGCAACAACAACTGGTACATCAGAACCTTTACCACTTTGTGCTCTTCTGAACAGCGTAGATAGTGAAGTTCGTTCTTTTCTCCTTTTGTTGCTTACATCACTGGTTGATCGTCCTAGAGGAGTTTTCTCAGGGGCACCTTCGTCGCTGTTCCTTCTTCCGATCTTATTGTCCTTTTTTCTTCTATGTGGTAAAGAGAAGAACTTCTCAGGTGGATGATCAGAAGTACAAGTAATGCCTTCAGCCTGGGCGCGTACTTTGTTAGCTTCTTCAATGAGTTCCTTTTCTGATAAATGTGTGAATGGTTCTTTTCTGATGGACTTGGGTTGGTCGGATGATGTAGTACGCGTTGCGCGCGGTTTATCTGCAATAATAATTACAACATTTAGCTATCTCATTCGTTTTATATTCTTAATAAATTTATTAGCAAGTTAGCATTGGTCAAATTTTGAAATATTTTTATTATTTGAAATATTACTTAGTTAATTTTTCAAAATCCTTTTTTAGTAACGTTTTAATTTTGAAGATGGATGGATAGATATTTGTTAAAGGCTAGTAAATATTGAGTTAGACGAGTAATTTATCTTGTAGTACGTTGATGATAAATAGCAAATAATAACGAAAATACAATGATCAGTATCTCCTGACATAATGGTTAATTCTATGAGTTATTACGAAAAGCAACTTGTAGTAGTACCAGGCGTACATAGTATGTGAAACAATAAGATATATTATGAGGTACGCATATTTGAAATTAAAATAAACTTTAATATTGAAATGTAAGGTTCACATTCCGTTAACAGATTTTGTGTTAAGTTGCAGAAACCAGTTAGACTATTAATAATTATTAAGCTGTCAAAAATATTGTTTTATGTAAAATAATAAAGAGATAATAAAAATACGCAAAAGGTACTCGTTTGATCATAAAAGACGAATATATTAATCATTTTTTGTGTAACTGACATATTTTTAAGGAACAATCATATTTTTTCGACTTCAAAGATGAATAAAAACAAAATGTATTTATGTAATAGATTTTTCGAAGCATATTTGATTCGTCTAGATTATTTGTTTTAACTCAGTACATAATAAAGTAACTGATTGATGATTTTGCAAATAGAAATGCGCTTTTAATTCTAGCGCTCCTTTATTATGTAGTATTAATCAGCTATAGGCTACAAACAAATGCTAGTTAGTATTGGCCTAACACCCTGTTGCTCGTTTATTTTTTTTTATTTTTATATTGTTATTTGCTTTTGTTGTTTTTCGCTGCTATTTTTTAATGTTATTTTCTGTACTTATTGTTTTTAATTTTGTATTTAAATTTTATTTTATGTTTGTAGTTTTGGTGGGTCATGCATGCCCAGTGACAAATAAATTATTTTTCTTTCTTTCTATATTTAGAACATAACATAACATCACGCCTTTTATCCCCGAAGGGGTAGGCAGAGGTGCACATTATACCACTGTACAATGACCCATGTAATAGGGGGGGAGTCTACTGCCATATACCGGGCACAATTCCAGGCTCCGTGCTACTACTGAGCATATTTAAAAACCCAGTAATACTTTCACCGACCCGGGAATCGAACCCGAGACCCCTTGCCCGGCAGTCACACTTACGACCACTCGGCCACGAGGCAGTCCTTATTTAAAACAATTACAAAAACAATCGTAATACTGTTACAAAAGCACCTATACAGTTCCATATTAAACCGATATGAATACAAAATGGCGTCATATTATAACGGGGAGTAGGTACCTATCGAGCAAAGAACTTATTTTTCGACTCCTACGCATGTTAGTCACCCCAAGTCCTGGTCTGCAACAAAAACTATACAATAGCTAATGGTTTCGAGATGGTTAATGATCTATCATTTATTATGGAGTATCTATTTGGTGAATTCGCATCAGGTCGAGCCATAATCGTATGCTGCAGAAGATTCTGTTTTATCAACTTTATTGTATTAAGTTATAAAGTTATGGAGATGTCATTTAAATATGATATTCGTTTGTGTCCTTAATTGAATAAATATACCAACTGATTTAAGTGCTAATATATTTATTGGATATATTTTTAGTAGCGACGTGGTGGTTCGAAACCTACCAACGGCAAGGGCCAATGTGACGTTTTTCGAGTTATATGTACTTCCTAAGATTATTTAGACACCACTGACAAAAGGAAAACATCGTGAGGAAACCTGGACTCACAATTTCTTATTCTAGTTTGAAATCCCCAACTCGCATTGAGTAAGCCCGATGATGAACCTCTTGACTGCCGGTATATAAGACACAATAGAAAATGCATTGTGTCTCGCGTAGATCTACGTTCCGGCAAACGACGGGTTATTGCTTCTCCGTGCGAGAAGAAGCCTTTGGTCAGCAGTGGGCATTTATAGCCTGTTGAAGTGTGTATATTTTTTGGATTCTTTTCATTTAAATGTAACTCACGTTTCAGTATATCTAAAGTGCGGTAATGCCTCTGCCTACCCCTTCGGGGATAAAAGGCGTGATGTACCTAATGTTATGGTACAAAGAAAGAAGTCAATAAGAATTTTAGGAGCTTCTTTTATAATAACCTAAGTTCCCGCTATAGACACACGTAAATTCCCGCAAGCTGAATATCACTCCCGTCCAATACAAACTTGCACGCATTACCTTCCTTGAAAGCAATCAAAAACACCATCCCTTTAAACTTACTACTGTTTAAACCAATACCAGTATTAAAAAAGGAGCAAAGAAAATCCAAAAGTTGTTTGCGCCAAAAGTCAGAGCTAAAAATAAGCGTGAGCAACTGTGACGTCACGGCCTTAATGCGCCTGCGACGAAACCGTATAAGTAGGTAGTATGCAGAAATACGTCGAATTTTATAATGTATAGCGAACCCGGAATATTGTAAACTGGACTTGAGTGCCTATAAAAGTTGATGAGGGATTGGCTATAAATACAGTCGATTTGTATCCACGTAAAAAGTTGGCGATGAGTTTCATAAAAATGTTATTTTTTTCTTAGATTCTAGTTCATAGTCTTTAATATATGCATTATGTGGCGAAATGTACAATGTTACCCATTTAGTACTAAGCTAAAAACGTGTAAATATTCAAGCAAGGCTTTTGAAAAAAAGGCGGACGCAATATCATTTGGAAATGATTGAAGCACCAAAAATTTCATAGGTGTATTTATAAGTGTGTCTACTTGCAAAATCGTATGTACTGTAATGACGGGCCATGTCACGCGACAAAATGTCCTTTGTGTCAATGTGTGTGTATTCTGCTTGTAAGTCTATAGTAGCCAGGTGCCACAGTCTTTGTTTTAAGGGACTGTGTCCGCCATTTTCAACGTCCTTGTATTTAGGTGACAACAGCCTTATACCACTAACTACATGGTATTTTGAGAGGGGTTGAATATTTCGATGACATCTTAAATAAGTCGAGAGGCATCTGCCTCTGAAGAATCTTCTTACTGACTAAACATTACCCGTTCCTTCTCTTGCTTCGAGCTGGCGCCCTGGTAACCCGTGAAGTTGTCCGCACCTCCGGACTAACTAAATTTGATTAAGCCATAAAAATGAAACCTAAAATTCTTCATCAAAATACATCGACTACTGATCAAAGGCATTACTGTTAAGTTACACGTCACACCCGAACCCGGCTCTCATAGGTACCATATAACAAAGCTACGTACTAATATTCATAATTCATTGCAATTGACAATAATAATTCCAAGTGTCTAGGATTTTTTATAATCAAATATCGCCGGTGTGGTCCTAGCAGACACGTGATACTGCGGCTCAAAAGATGTTAATCGCATTGTAAATAGTCTCACATAAATTATAGACCGGTAACGGTTACGGTGGTCTACTAATGTTGAAGGGTTTTTTAAAAGGCTTTTGTTAATCCTCGAAGACGTAGAGGTGTATCCTGCAGCTGTAGCCAAATGCCATTTAGCGCTTATCTACATGTAGAATAGAAATCAGGGCCTCTAGCCAAACGCCACTTTAGCGCTTGTCTACAGAGAGAGTAGAAATCAAAATGTATGGGGATGACACTGACAAGTGTCGAAATATACGTCAATTCCATATAATTTGGTTTTCTATTCTACATGTAGACAAGCGCTACAAATTATATGGAACTAGCTTTTACCCGCGGCTTCGCTCGCGTCACAAAAGGATAAAAGTAGCCTATGTGACATATAACAATACACACAGCGCCATCTATATCAATTCTTTTGTTTTCCTTCGGGAATGTCAAAATTTTCCGGAATAAAAAGTACCCTATTATTTATTCCGGACTTCTAACTTTACGCCTAGCTAGATGATAAAATTCAAAGCAATCGGTTTAGAAGTTACGGCGTGAAAGTGGAACAAACAAACAAACAAACTCACTTTGCCATTTATAATAGTAAGGATTGATTGAAATTTTGACACTTGTCTGTGTCATCCCCATACATTTAGTTGTCTACTCTCTCTGTAGACAAGCGCTAAAGTGGCACTTGGTTAAAGGCACAGCAGACATCACGGGCGAGACTATGTATAGATTATGGTGGACCCCGCATGGGAGATCCTGACCGATGCCACAGTCAGGATCTCCATATCCCCGTTTTCCAGGACGGGTCAAAGTCAAAGTAGTAGTCCAATTAGATATATTATGAGTCCCATGTGATTGGGGTTGAGCTTATTTCTATACAATATAGGTACCTAATTTCTGACTCCATACACTTACTGTACGTGTACCTCATCTCTAAAGTTCATGACATTATCTACTAGGAATTACTTATTGAAAAATTCAACTCGGTATTCGGTACCCTCATTCGATAATCTTGCTTACGAATGATTATATTAATCCAACAAGATTTTACATACAATTTTTCTAACTGAATAGACTCAAACTGTTGAAGTTCAATTGACTGGAATTGATCTCGACTGTAGTCTAGCGATAGTAATCGAAATTTTACTATTGAGTTCCTGTCTCAACTTGTTAAGGCAAATGAAGGAAATAAAATAGGTATTGTGAGATTAATCTATTTGAAAAATCTTAAATGTTATGGTTTGGTATCAAATTCCGGATTCATTCATTCATTGAAATACGCTATCGTGTCCGGGGTTCTTTGTAAATGAAGACCCCACTAAAGGGACTCTTTTTACTTATGAGCTCCCTACACTTATGGTGCCTCTGGAACCTATTACGGACGTACTAAGGCGTCAGCGAATGCTTGCCAGTAAATATTTTTTTATGTTAAGACGTCAATCTCGTTATTAAATTGAATTCATGAACCTACCCGTACCTAGTCTAGGTATCCTATAAATAAACATTAGAACAACAATTCAAAGACAAAAACAGTTATTAATAACGGTCTTGGCACTCA